CGGACCCCAACCACCTAGTCTGCATTGCCCCACATGGCTGAAACCAACAGTCAAAGACTTCATACACTGGTCTGGCCGTCTCGGGCGTTTTTCCAGCCTGAACCTACTTCGGCCAACATTGTGAGATGAGGCAATCGGTGACTGGGCATATATAGTACGTGTCCCAACCATCTCAATCGATGAAGGTTCATAACCTCCCTACAACTCTACACCTGACTTCTGCGTAACTCACTTGGTGACACCACGGAATACGGCGGCCTACACTACGAAGGCAACGGTGCTCAAACATTTGAAGCCTTCTTATATCTTCCACTTTCAGTGGCCATGTTTCACAGCCATACAGTAGAACAGAGTGGACTGCTGCGCAGTATACGTGACCCTTAATAGACAAACAGATATCATGGCGGTGCCATAGGTGGCGTAAATTGGCAAAAGCCAACCGAGCCTTTTGTATCCGTGCAGAGATTTCATCGGCAACTAACCCACCAGGGTTGGTCCTACTTCCCAGGTAAGTGAACTGGTCAACAAACTCAACCACTTCACTCTCTATTGTTAGCCGCGGCACCGTTGAAGACCAGTCCTGGAGCAATAACTCGCATTTGGGTGGTGAGAAACGCATCCCAAACATCCTTAAATTCCCACTCAAAGTGTTCAGAAGACTCTGCATCTTGTCAGCGTCTTCACCTAACAGGACTATGTCATGTGTATATTCTAGATCTAAAGAAAATTCACCTGTGATTGGGTCAACGTTTGTGTAATTAGGTGCTGAGAGGGAAGCCTCCATAAGAATATCTATGGTAAAATTAAATAAGAATGGAGAGAGTGGGGATCCTTGACGGACATGACTCGATGAGCATAGCTCCCTGAACATCTCACCATAGGCTCTAACATGCCCACAAGTGTTCGAGTAGAGGGCCTTCAATAAGGTGATGTACTTACTTGGGACGCCTTTCAGTGAGAGACATTGCCATAAGACTTCTCGATCAATAGAGTCGAATGCCGCCTTCAAGTCGAGAAATACAATTATTGTCGGGCGTTTGTAAGCGTGCCTATGTTCCAGGACCTGGCTTAGTGTGAATATTTGGTCGATACACCAGCGGCTGGGTCTAAAGTCTGCTTGGTATTCTCGGACTTGCTGTTCCCAAGCTCCACTCAGGCGTCGGAGAATTATAGAATCTAGAATCTTAGACACTACTGTCGTCAGGCTGATTCCTCTGTGGTTATCACAAGAGGACTTCTCGCCTTTCTTGAAGACTGTGATAATCAGCGACTTAGACAAGTCAGAGGGGATCGTATTTGATTCCCATATACTAGCTAACACTTCTGTTAACCTGACTAAGAGCACTCTACCACCATTCTTGTATGCCTCAGTAGGTAGTCCATCTGGTCCTGCTGCCCCTCCTCGTTTCAGGTTACCTACCGCTTTCTCAACTTCTTCTAGTGTTGGGGGACCTATCTCAATGTTCCATTCAGGATCCGATTGGATAGCGGGTCAAGCAATGGTGTTTGGAGGTCAGTTAAACTGCTCCTCAAAGTGTTCTGCCCATCGTTCCAATCATCTCCATTGCAAGTGAATCGCAGATCCGTCCTTCTCCGCTATAGCCTCACTAATCGCAGTTGACCTTTTCCTCCAGTCTCCTTAATAAGTCTAAATAACTGTCTACTGTTAACAATTGCCACTGCCTTTTCTATCTCTTTAGCCTTCATTATTGCCCACCATTGTTCGCGGTCGTTGTGTAGACTTTTTCTCAGTCTACTTTTAAGCTGTGTCCGCTGCTCTTCATTGTACTCAGACCCTGCAGTAATGTGTTCATGTGCATTCATTAGTTTGGAAGAAGCTGCTGATATCCACTAGCTACGGTCATCAGCGCTGCTTTAACAGCAGACTGGATATTGTGATGTCAAAATTCCATCACATTCCAATCACCGACCCTGTGCACATTCCTGCAGTAGGCACTGAGCCACACGTATTGTGTCAGGGCTAGTGACACTACCTGACTGTCTAGACCTTGGCAGATAAAGCAATGTAAGATGATATAACTACCAGGAAACCTTTCGAATGACTGCCATAAGACCTGTAGAACAAAGTTGAAGACCATCAGGTCAATAAATAAAATTAGCATTGGGTATCGATAAATGTTTGCGTTGTAAAATATGGAGGAAAGTGAAGAGTTGACCAATACACTATCAGCCCTGCAACCTGTTTGATTCTTTCAAAGAAAGTTGAAGACCTTATATCAATGTCGCATTGAGGTCGCAACTGGATAGTAGCCAAAGTAAAAATAACAGGAAGTTAGCGTAAGCGCCTTTCAAGATGGTCTATTTACCCTCCCGGTCGCCTTTTCTCAGTCCACTATGCATCCATTTTTCCCCACTACAGTTTCAGTAACCAATATCTTTTACGCCATCTTTACCAAGAAGTATAAGCAATCGCTCATCGCTGCCACCTTTTTCCCATTCCCCTACCTTTTGCTGCTCGTGGTTTTATGATCTGGGTATTTGAGTTTTAACCAGTGGGTTACAGGTTACTCGAGCTGCAGCTAAAAATGTAACTGCCACTGCCTACCTCTTTTTACAAAATAATACTGACTCTGACAGTCCACAAATTCTTTCTCCACACTGTGTTGAAAGTATCGATAAATGTGGGCACACGCGGCATCGGCTAATTTGAATGAAGCCGATGAAATCCGCTAGACAAAAGTAACTTTTTTATGAAGATTAATTACAATCTTTATCGCTGTTTTAACAGCATGCACTTTGGAGTCACATTTCTTTATGATGAGTAACATAGTCTTGTTACGTCAAGCAGTCTTGATATCTCCGTTATCAAGCTGAAGTTATAAAAGTTTTGTGGCCGCAGTTTTGTACCATTGATTAGTCTGCTAACACATAAGTATTAAGGCTAATTCATCATCGTTGTGAAAGTACGCGATTCAGCAGAAACGACCTTCTTCAACCCTTTCCAAGAGTAACCAATTGTGATGTTTTCTGAGTATTGAGGTGAGTTCCGTGGCCAGCAATTCAGACAAGGTTAGTTTATTTCGACATATTTTTCTTACTAAGAACAGAACAGTAGCGTCTAGTGATTATTATACTGTGAAATTCTAATTTCATAACTACATGCCATCTTCGATTAAACAATTGCGAGTTATTATCACAACTAACCGTACACTAATACGCACACATGTGCGAATGACTACTACGAGCAAGTAACCAAACAAATGTTTGTCTGAAGCGCTGTAAACAACGCCTATTGACTGAGATTAGAAACACTGCAGCTGAACTTACCTTAATAGGTCAAAAGTTTCAGATCTATAGCCGTTGGATGCCTAAGTGTCCGAATCAGATAACTACTGCTCATCATGAGTCTGCATACAGTGAATACACAATTATGTGACTTAAGATAGTATCCAATGTTTCACCATCTAACAACCTGCTCCGGATGATGCAACTCCCAAAGTGAAATGGTCGACACATTCCAACACTTCACTCCCTATCCTTAAACCAGGAGTAGTTACAGACCATTCCTGAAGCAACATCTTACAATTGATAGGTATAGAACGCATGCCAAACATATTTAGATTTTTGCTCAACGCGTTCAACGTCTTCGCCTAGCAGGACAATATTATCGGTGCACTTCAAGTCAATTCAGGTAAAAACACTACACACACTACTACGCCGCTGCGCGAGTTCAAGTGGGGAGCTCTGATTACCACTACATACTTTCTCGATACTCCTTTCACATTCAAACACTGCCACACCTCACGATCGCCTTCAGGTTAACAAATATCCCAAGTGTCGGTCGCCAGTAAGTATGCCTGTGTTCCAGAATCTGTCGGAGGGTGAACATCTGATCGATGCACCCTCATAGATTCATAAAAACTAACTGGTTTTCTCGAGCTTGCTGTCCTTGAGCTGTAGTTAGGCATTGGCTAAATATGAATCTGGACACGATATTAATTGAAGTTCATCCTCTCTGATTGTCACGAGATGACTTATCTTTCTTCTTATAGACTGGAATGATCACTGAAGCAGACCAGTCTGATAGGACTGTTGACTCCTATACACTTGGTACCTCCATTACCGTAGACAGCAATTTACTGACGCAATCCTTGCAAACTTCGAGTAGCGAACCACCATATCGTGCTGTTTTGCACTTTTCCAGGTTCAAAGCAGTCTTCTCAACTTTGAGGACAGCTGGAGGACCGACCATCTAAGTCCCATTCAGGTTCGGGTCGGATGCTAAGCAACTGAAGCGCTGATCTCTGCTAGACGAACTGTACTTTAAGGCGTTCTGTCCGACCTTCCACCCATTTTTTCTTAAAAGTAGTCGGCGTGCCATCTTTAATGCTGAGATTTTCACTAACCATCATCTTCCTTTTGTTGATATGCTTAATAAGTCTGAATAGTTGCCAGGGGAAGGGGATACAAACGTAAGCTCAAAGCCTTTCAAAAAGTTTTAGTGGATTAAATACGGCGTAATCCCATCTACACATCAGTACACTGTTGAGAATCATAAACTAGGGTTTGCTACCCAATATATAGAAGACGGTTTACCCGTGCTCTCTTTGATAAGCAGATTTTCCTTAGGAAGAAAGTACAAACCAGACCGTGCCACCTAAGTAGAGAATTAAAGTTACGTTATTCTACTTTGATAATGCATCACAACCGCTTGCGTTTACATGCATACATACTGATATGAGTAATGCACATAAGGTGTATAAATGAATGAGAGAAAAAAATGAAATTCGCAATGAACTGTTCAAAGATGAGTCTGACAGGAAACATCTGATCCAGTCTTGCACTATATTTTAACTTTAAGAGAAATGAGTTAAAAGAATAAATAACTGGTTAAAATGCAAGGATTCAGCTGGACCCCCACATAATTATGTCAATGTGCAAGTCCGTCCCGGATAGCCTTAAACAATTAGATTTCTTATTAGAAGTTTTGAAAGCAAAAATAGTTCAGATAAGTGGTAAGCAAGAATGATCAGACTCACTACTTAAAGCTACCCAGTCTAGTAAGTTACTTGAATGTAACGCCATTTCCACCACAGTCATATAGTGCGCGCTCAATCCAACTCTCAATGCCTCTATTCCAAGGCCTTTTGATCCATATTTGGTATCTTCTAAGTTGAACCACTCAATAGTGAACTTTGATAAATTATTGGCTTGGACGTAATTCGGATGTGTAAAGATAAAATCAGACATTCCTATTTAGAAGTGTAGAACGGTCATGAAAGATTCTGATTCAGATTTGTTGTTTGAGGATGGGAGGCTGTGAGCCTATATTAATTCTTCTCGGTAGAATTTCGTGTTTCTCCAATCCCCTTTCGGACGAGTAAACTGATGATGCGTTCACAACATCTACTGGGAGTCGGTTCAAGGCGTTGGTTACTCTACGCGAGAACTAGTACTATGCCGAGACTATGTTCGTCCTTTGCTTATGTAGCCTCCTACTGTGTCCTCCGAGGTGTTCCGACCTGGCGGAAAGGGAAAGAGAAGATATGTCAGGTTCGAAGTCATTTCTTAGAATCCTGTATAGCACGATTAGGTCTCCCCTCTGTCTGCGATTAGATAAAGATGTAGCGTTACACACTTCTCCAGAATCAATGGCCTAGGGTTAGACGAGATTTAATATTGATGCTGGTCTTGATAGTTTTACCAGACTCGTCAAGCTGAAGGCGCCCGGTCAGGCAACCTCGCTATCCGGCCTGCTGTCATGTTACGTTGCATTTCCCGCAATCGATCCTCCAGCCAGTTGGTTGGAACATGTCGGTATCTTGGTAGGACCTCACAAATATACTATTCCCTCCGGCTACTCTATTGTGTTCTTTCTTGGTCTCGTATTCGTGGGTGTATAACAGGTTTGAATAATTAGTGATTGGCCCCTGTGTCTACCATGTTCGCACCAGGACAATCCCTAAATTAGTGAATCCAACGTGATAACAAACCTCGTCCAAGAACAAATCTTAAACTGGAAAGCCAGTTCCATTCTTTTCCCCTTGTATATTGCTTTCATTTTGATGACCCTTATGCATCTACATACAACTTTCTCCCATATCCGACCATACTTCCAAGCCCATTCGTATTAGGCCGACGACAAAAATACACTATCCAACTCGTGTCATACTGGCGAGATAATGCAGAGACATTGTTTCTGTATGCCGAGGCAGATTTCCAGAAACAGAGAGTCGTAGATCCTCATTCTAGATTTCTTGCTGTCATACGTTCACTACCACGGGAATCAAACAAGCACATTACAGCGTATATGTTCGGTCCTGAAGTATGTGTTCCTTACGCACCTCTCAAAGCTACGCTAATTTGGAAAAGTAATCTCACAGATCGCCAGGGCCTAGATGAGTTGCCTCGTAACACCCAGCTAGGCAGCAACTCACCCACTGAAGTCCTCATGCGCATGCTAGAAGTTGTGGGGACACGAAGGTTCGATAATGGTCCTTCCCGAGAACTGTTTCTCTCGAAACTGCCATGTTAATGACACATCAGTTAGTTCCACTGGATGACCAAGCAACCTCAGGAGATAAAACACTGCAGATCTCTAACAGACCCGTCTCCAACGTGTATGCCGTCTGTGATAAACCTGAGAACCAGGATTCAAAGGTAACCAGGCTGTGCAACTTGGTTAAACGGCTGCTACAAATCCCTAGGTTACGTAGCGCACCACAGAAACGCAACCCAGGCCATCGCGGCAACTCGCGTGGTTATCCGAAAACTAAACTCAACAAGGTAGAAAGTCCTAAGTGGTGCTGGTTTCACTAAACCCGGAGGAAAGAATCCAGAAAATGCTGGAAGTCATGCGGTTTCAATACGGACGCAAACTCGGCAAACTGTCACGCCGGCACGCGTTCACGGCAACCGTAGCCGGCGGAAGCAGCCGTTTGCTCTACGTCACGGATATTAAAACGAAAGTTCGCTACCTCGTCGACACCGGCGCAGAAGTTAGCGTTCTTCCCGCACCAACAAAAGGGCGTCATCATGACCCATACTTCAATCGTCAGGCAGCTAACGGCAAGGTAATCGTGACATTTGAGAGACGGTATGCCTACCTCAGCTTAGGTTTACGCAAACCTATTCGCCGAATTTTCCTTCTAGCTGATGCCTCTATGCCCACCATTGGCGCAGATTTGCTGAACCATTACGATCTACTCACGGATGCCATTGTCGATGACTGATAGATTATAACGCAAAGTTATCTATTGGCGGCACCGCCCTTGTGGGTCCAAGTTTTAGCCATCGTTAGAACTAGACAATCGGAGGACGCGTCCTATTAGGCAGTGTTGGGGAAATATTCAGTATGATGACAACCGAAGCATACTCTTCCGTGCACAACCAGTAATGTTATGCGCCACGTCACAACCACAGGTCCACTTGTGGCATCCAAGCACGCCGTCCAGCCCCTGGCAAGCTCAAAATGGCGAAGAGTGAATCCGACCACATGCTCGAACTGGGCATTATCAAACCTCCAAGTAGTCTTTAAGCGTCATCATCCCACATGCTTCCCAAGAAGGATAGCACTAACCGACATCCAATCGGTGATTATCGGAGGCTTAGCACCAAAACAACACCGGACTTCTACCCGGTACCTCACGTTTACGATTTGATTGCAACCTTATGCGGAATGAACATCTCCTCCAAAATCGATTTAGTCAAAGCGTACAACCAGATACCTATAGCAGCGGAATATATTGCGATAACAGCCATTATTACTCCTTTTGGTTTGTTTGAATTCCTGAGCATGCCATTTGGTCTTCAGATTGCAGTACAAACATTCCAACGCTTCATGGATGATGTCTTCCGTGGTTAAAATTTTGTCCACGCCTACATCGATGACTGTCTCATTGAGAGTTCAGATAAGGCAACTCACCTTAGAAATTCGGACCTCGTTTTCGAAAGACTAAAGAGACATGGCATCACAGTCAACTTGCATGAATGTGAAATAGGAGTTAAATCACTTAGCTTCCTTGGGCATACCACCGACAACAAAGGTGTACGCCCGTTGGCGGCTATCACGCACTATCCAGGGCTGACCACTGTGAAGCAGATCCCCACAATCGATGGCCTGTTAAGTTATCGCCGAAGGTTTGTCCCCGACTGTGCCTTTGTCACGAGACCTTTCGCAGGCCTACTTCGAGAGACTATGAAGTGCATGACTGTGGACAGTGTGGCCAGACTTGCGCTCTCTGGAGTCATGGAAGCCATTACAAACGTAACCATGCTAATGCATCGCGACCCCAATGTTCCTTCGAGTACTGCTGTTGATGCATCTGACTCGGCAATTGGGGCAGTTTTGCAAAGGTTGACTGACAACCAGTGGCAACCTTCAGCTTTTTACCCGAGGCGGCTGCAAGGCACGGAAGCGAGGTACAGTAAGTTTTGTAGGGAACTCCTAGCCATGTGCTGTTGTGTACGCTATTTTCAGCATTCGGTGGAAGGTCACGACTTCATTATTTTCACAGACCAAAAGCCGTTGACCTTTTCACTTAGCTCGGCATCTGGCAAACACTCCCCATGTGAGTCGCGACAACTGAATTATATTTCTCAGTTCACCCGGGTACCCACCACGCTTCGGGAGAAAACAACCCCATGGTCGACGCACCATCTCGAATAGCTTCGATAAACCGTGTCAAAGGAGTTGATCTTGTTGAACTAGCTAAGTGTCAAAAAGAAGACCTTGAGCTGCGCCATGAGTCGCCATCCACAACTCTCAAGCTACTACTGTATCAAGTGTGGTCAAGGGGGCAAATAATTTCATGCGATGTCTCTGCTAGTCATCCACGCCCAAACGTCCAGAAGGGATGTCGACACAACGTCTCCAACACGTTGCACAAGCCGTCCCATCCGGGCTTGCGAGCCGCCATTAGGCTTATCGCACAACGTTTCTGCTGGCCTGGGATGAAAAAAGACGTTAGGGGGTGGGCTCAATCGTGCTTAGCTTGTCGGAAGTGAAAATTCAAGCGACACACGAAAAGCTCTTTCGGCTTTTTTCTAGCCCCAGACATGCGTTTCGACCACGTCCACATAGATATTGTGGGACTCCTACCAGAATCTCATAGATGTACCTACCTTTTCAGTTGTGTTGATCGTTTCACACGACGGCCAGAAGCAGTAACTATTAAGGACATTACTGCTGAAACAGCAGCTCATGTTTTCGTCGAAAGATGGGCTGCGAACTTTGGATGTCCATCTTACGTCACAACTGACCGTGGGCGGAAATTCAAGTGTGGATTGTTTCACGCTTTCGCTGCACTTCTAGGCTGCACTCGGTTCCGAACGACAGCCTACCATCCACAAGCAAACGGCATGGTTGAACGTTTCCATCGACAGGTGAAAGATTTCCTCTACAGCTGCAAACATACCTCAGCAAACCGAGGTTCTGCCCCTAGTCCTACTGGGCATTCGTGACGTGTTGAAAGCCAATGCTGGATGCATCTCTGCAGAACTCGTCTATGAGACCACTCTTCGCCCACCAGGTGAGTTCGTTCCCCCTTCAACCTTCAAACATTTTGTCGACAGGACATCTTACGTGACTAGGCTTACAAACGCAGTGCGTTCGGTTAGGTCTACTTCTGTTAGAACTCAGACGACTGATGTCTTCATTAACCCCGTCATACAGAAGACACCACACGTGTTCATTCGCCACGATGTCGTCCGTCGACCACCTGAACCATCTTAAGATGGAACATTCAAAGCGATTAAACGGCATGAGAAATTCTGTTCAGCCGAGCGAAACGGATGTGAAGGAACTGTCAGTATCGACTGTTTGAAACCAGCCTATTTCAAAGGTAACCCCATTATAAGTGACTTTTCAGCTCACTGCAGCCAACGGGCGGGAGGCCCGGTTATCGAAATTCTTGAAGATGCGCATGTTAATGCACAGATACAACAACCACCGGCGCAAAAAACACGATCAGGTCGAACCGTCAGGATCCCGGAGCATCTATAATGGTAATAATAATATCTATTATTTGGTCTCGTATTCGTGGGTATATAGCAAGTTTGAATTGTTAATGACTGGTCTCTGTGTCTACCAAGTTCGCACCAGAACAATTCCCAAAGCGTGGAGAGGTC